CCGGGTGCGCTTCAAGGTGTTGGTTATCACCTTCAAAGCGCTCCATGGCATCGGACCTGGATATCTCCGAGACCGCCTTCTGCCTCAGAGTGCCTCCCATCGGCCGGTACGCTCCCACAGAGTGGGTCTCCTCAGGGTGCCGTCAGCCAGACAGTGCCGGCTGGCGACTCCCAGGGGGAGGGCCTTCTCGGTGGGAGCTTCCACCCTCTGGAATGAACTACCCCCAGAGATCCGGGTGATCCCGGATCTCCCTTCCTTCCGCCGCGCCCTTAAGACATGGCTATTTTAACAAGCAGGACTGGCCTAGGGGGAGATTTTTAGCGGGGTTTTAAAAACAATTTTAAATTGTTATGGGCCAAATCTAATATTTCATTTTAATTATGTTTTTTAAATTGGGGTATTTTTGTATTTGTTTTTTATCAGGCTGTCAGCCGCCCTGAGTCCGTAAGGAGAAGGGCGGGGTAAAAATTCAATTAATAAATAAATAAAATAAATAAATAATTCTTAAGATTTGAATTCAATAAGCTAAAAGCGTCTTGTATTATTGTTGATGTAAGTGCCGGACTATATTCCACAGGATATTAAGACTCACCTCATAATCTTGCATGATTTTATTGCAGCCAGAACAAAACTATTGCCACCAAGATATGCATTAGAGCTCAACAAGTACCGTATTTTCCGGCGTATAAGATGACTTTCTAAACCCTGAAAATCTTCTCAAAAGTCGGGGGTTGTCTTATACGCCCAGTCGTCTTATACGGCGGAAAATACAGGTATTCTATTTTATTCCTTTATATAAGCTGAGAACGCGATGGGGGCGGCAGCCGGGAGCCGCTGCCTCCCATCCTGCTCCCCCTCCCTGGACGCGATGGGGCAGCGGCCAGGAGCTGTTGCCTCCCGTCCTGCTCCCCCTCCCCGCCTGTTCAGCTGAGGATGCGATGGGGCGGCGGCCGGGAGCCGCTGCCTCCCGTCCTGCTCCCCCTCCCCGCCCGTTCAGCTGAGAATGCGATGGGGGCGGCGGCCAGGAGCCACTGCCTCCCGTCCTGCTCCCCCTCCCCTCCCATTCGGCTGAGGACGCGGCAGCCAGGCTGGGGGCGGCGTGGACTCCCGACGATGCTGCAGTGGCCGCTGCCGTGCTGCCGCCGCTGCCACTGGAGCTGCTGCCTCCCGTCCTGCTCCCACCTCCCCGCCCGTTCGGCGCCATCTGCCTTTCATTCTCTCTCTCTCTCTCCTAACCTGGAGAGAGAGGGAGAGAGAGAAAGAGAGAAAGAGGAAAGAAAGAGAAGAGAGAGAGAGAAAGAGGAAAGAGGAAAGAGAAAGAGAGGAAAGAGAAGAGAAAGAAAGAGAAAGAGAAGAAAGAGAGAGAAAGTTAGAGGAAAGAGAAAGGAAGAGAAAGAGAAAGAGACAGAGA